GCAATAAATCCATGGTAACATGAAGCAGGGCCAGTGGCCCAGAAGTTGTGTAAAAACTCTAGAAGATGGGATCATACTAATTGGCTTACCTATGATTTCCATAACATACTGGGTAAAGGGTGTGGTAAAGACGGGAGCTGGTGAAGACCTGGAGAGACTCCAAGAATCAAAAGAGCGGTACAGAGGGAAGAAGTGGGCGCCAGAGCAGCAACCTGAGAGGCTAATCACAGCACCACCTGTGCAACTACCCATGGGCCTTTCCCTGCGTAAAGAGCAAGTGGTGGCAGCGTTTGCCGCTAGCCACTGTTCTGCAACTGCTTTGCAAAGACAAAACTGACAAGGTGATTCAGCCCTCCACAAAGTCCTGAACAGCAAAAGAAGGCTCCATCCCTAGAGGAAATTGTGGTGGTCCCCAGTCATCTTGCCACCACACTAACGAGACACCTGCCTGTCATAGGACCCAACCACTGACCACAAGTAGGCAACAGGCCCCAAATTCGGGAGAGGCCGTCTATGTAAACAGCTCTCCATAACTGCCCGACACCCAACCTCATCAGCTCTGTAGGGCGAAGCTGTCCCTGTAGAGCTGGGGCCTGACTGACCCCCAACAAGATGGAGGGCTCAGAGTCTGCGCACAACTATGGATTGTGTCTCCAGGTAGAGAGCTGAAGAGCAAAGAATAAAACACTCACCTTACAAGTTACTTTTAGAAAACTCAACATCTTACTTTTTTTCACGTCTTTGGGTTGTGTCACCAACATCACAGACTTTCCGACATAAGATAAGTTCTTCTGGAACTTATGCATGTTATTTTTATTCTTGGCAGTGTTCAATTTAGTTAAAAAGGAATGTTGTAACAGTTTTTCGGATGCAGGTTGGTAGTCAAAATCAATCTGGCCAGTTACTTTTAAAAACAAAAGTTTAGTCGTTAAAACGTCAGTTTGCTGAGTCATTCACCAGATTCACGTAAGTAACTCAGTCATACTACCATTAAATAAAAACAATGGTCTCAGTGTAGTAGAAGTACCCATAGATACTAAGTGAAAATAGATTGAGTAAATAAATAAATAAGGTGAGGTTGGTGAAGGAAAAAATAAGAGCTTTTCAAAAACAACAGGAGTAAATTTTTGAGTTTAAAGAATTATAGCAATTACATTTCTACCAATTTATATAATGGAGAATACAAGAAGCAAAATAACTGTATGCTGTGATTACAATAAGGTTAAAGTTCCTTTTCACACGTCCAGTAGTCAATACATCCGTTTAGTGTGTACCCTTACTAGACTTTTTCCTGCACGCTTAAGTGACCCATAGAAAATAGTATTGTTTTGAAAATATCCAGTATTATATTATGTGGCAACATATATATGCAAGTTTTAACATAAATGATACCTCTGTTTCTAAGAGGAGAATTTTTCTTAGAGTGAGAGGGTTGGGTTTCTTCCTCACTGGAAAGATTGCTTAATTAACA